ATTGAACAATAATTATTTAGCACTGGCTTAAAGAGACTAGATTAAAAAAAACTGCTTTTAAAGAAGTTTGGTTAAAAATTCAGCTTGTAAAATGTTTGTGGTAGAGATTATAATTCTGCAAAAGGAAAATGTGCTTTAGAGCTTAGAAGAGGTTTTTTTTTTCCAATTTAAATAGAAAAGTATTTAATTTTCAAGGGATAATAAGGAAGCCCCTAGGCTATCTCGTTTTCGAGTATAGGTTGTGAATGAAACGCATTTGTAAAGTCCTTTTCATTTGTGACATGAACCGTGTGTTTATCAATACACTTTCCGAAATGGTCTGTAACTTGGTGTTTAGGTTTAGTTTAAATTTGTACAAGTAATATGAGTGTGTCAGTTTTGATATTAACAGGTGGTTTTTAAAGACTTATAGGTTAGATAGCCCCAAGTTGCCTTCTCTCACCTTCATCTCTTTTGTATATATATATGTGTGTGTGCAGTATACTTTGTGATTATTTTTTAACTGATTTCTAAACTCTAATGTTAATGGCTAATAAGAATATAATTCGCTTGAAGATCCTGCAGAATAACCGATTTCGGCTTCTATATGGTGTTTGCAAAAACGTTTTTATTTATTTTAGTTTGGTGTTTTGCCTATTATGGCGTCTTGGGACTTAAATTGAACATAACCACCGTGATAGAAGACACTGACTGACGTGTTGGTGAAAAGTGTAGAAGAGTTTACTTTTGAAGGCAACCAGTGAGGAAGTAGTAAAGTTAGTGTTAAGGTAATTTGATGTAGAGAACTTATGTGTTATGTTGTTTATGTTAACGTGTTATGTTGTTTGTTCTTTATATACAGTGGTTTTAAACTGGGAGAAAAACTAGTGATCGTATTTTGAGAGCCAACTTGACCATTAGACTAGAGATGAGTTTAGTTTGAGACAACTCATAATTATGTATAGGGGGGGGGGGGTTGTTTGTATAAGTTAAAACTTGGTCAGTTTTCAAGATTTGTTTCTGAGTATGAACACATGAAAATGTTTTTAAGGCATGTATTAACACCTATTTATGTCACATGCTTATACATATCAGTAATATATATATATAAATGTTTTTGTTTCACAATATCACACTTTCAAATCCTTAGTGCTTCTAATGTAATATTTTGTGACTGTGTTTTAAATTTTAAATTTTGTCTGTTTAGGTGGTATTTGTGTTCTGATAGCATTCACGCAATGCAAAGTGGGAATTCGACACATTGGTATGGGAGAGGATCACGACATTACAGAGGTAGTGTGAGAATATCAATAAAACGCAGAATTGTTATTTTTATTGATATTGTTACTGATGTAAGTTACTTGTTTTTTTAAGCAGGATTTTTCAGGAAACCATGAAACAGTATATTGATTTCTTCTTGTGTCAGTACTGTAATGTACTTTTAGTTTAAAAACAATTACATTTTTTATCAGTAAGTTTTGAAAGTAAAAATAATAATAATTTCAAAACATTAAAAGTGGATATGTTTGCAAACTTTTCTTAAAGTTTTCTATAAAAAAAGCTTCACCTAGGTAATGTTTTTATAATAAAAGTATTGAAAATGCTTTCTGTACTATAGTATAACGACTTCTAATTAAAAAGTCAACTTTCTTAAAGATTAATTTCAGCACTTTTTATGAAGAAATTGATTTTGAGTGGTTCAGGTTGGAAAAAATAAAAAGGCTTTAGAAGTTTATCATAAAAAGTCTGTGTGTTGATTGATATGTATGTTTGTAGTCTTACAGTAAGTAGATGTAGCTCGTTAATTGGTTGTAGTAATAAATTAAAAAGGATATGTGATTGAAAGTATTAGTTCTTTGAAGGCTGTGTTGTGTAAATGTTTAAATTAATTTATGAAAAGTTATGTTTTGTATAGAAATTATGACATGACATCAGGCAACTAGGGACCATTTGATCCTTCAAGGCCACCTTTCTTGAAACAGAAAATCTTTCAACATAGTTCATGTGAAATTTTCTAATCCAGTATACAGGAATCCATGGATTTATTTACTTAAGTTACTTGTAGTTCTTAAGGATACATAATTTTTAGATTGTACTAGACCATCCGTGACCCATTGGGTCTCCCACTATTCAGAGGTTATGAAGAATTCAAGCTAATTTCAATATTGCACCGAAATGAAGGTTTATTTGAGATCATTTAATTAAATATTTCAATCCAAACGTGTTATTCATAATTCAAGAAAAGATATTTGATTGTTGATCAGGAGTAGAAGGAAAGACCATTTCATTTTTCAATGAAGATGGGAACATTGACAGGGAAATAGATTTGAACGAAAAAGTTTCGTAAAGAGCGCAAACGGTAGTGTGATGTAAG